GCGCTCAGAGAGGTACCTCAGCCCAGCCTGTGCTCTCTCCCAATCCGGGAGCCCTCAGGGGATGTCTGACTGCTGGCTCACCAGCCATGAGCCCGGCTTCTGGCTGAGTGGTGCTCCCCCTGTGGGAGTGCACTGACCACCAGAGGGCAGCTCCTATGTTGAGCATCTGCCCCCTGGTGGTCAGTGTGCATCATAGCGACTGGTCATTCAGCCATTCAGTCTATTTGCATATTAGCCTTTTATTATATAGGATAGAAGATGAGATAGAAAAGGCCAAACTATGAATTAGGTCAAATAATGAAAGCCATGCTAAGAATTTGGAACTTATCAAGGAGACAAGGTCATCGTTATCATTAATATTAATGTTGGCTTGGTCAATAATTTTCATACTCATCCTCAAAATCACTGATTTTTATATTCTTATGGATAACATTATGAATGTAGAGTCTGTTATTCAGTTGACATGAAATATTTTTCCCATAACATTTATTTTTCCATGTGAAGTTTATGGAAGGACCCCTTTTGGAAGGTCTATACTGGGACTCATGGTACAGTAACAGCCAATTGTATAATTCAAAGAACAGCAGTCGCATCTACTCTGAGAACATACTCTTAGGAGTCCCCAGAGTCCGTCAACTAAAAGTCCGAAATAACACATGCAAGGTCTATTCATCCCTTCAGTTTCTGATGAGCGATTGTTATGCCAAATACACTTCTGAAAATGAAGACATATCTGATTTTGGCCTTAAAGTTCATACTGAGTAAGTAGCATAAAATTACATGTAACATTTTCTAGCAGCTTGCCATTGTATCTATAAACAATTGTGAAAATATGTGTATTTTCCAAATAATACCAACAGGGGTCTTATTCCAATAATAGTATCAAAGGACGACTCAGCAATGCAGTGTCTAAAAAGCAAAAAAGAAAGAGTTGAACCTGTTATTTTTTTTGTCTACCAAATGGTATATGAAGTGCTAACTCATTGGACACAAGGCAAAGTGTCCATTTTTGCTCTTATAAGACTCAATGAGCTCTTCTGGCTTTGGCCAGACTCACTTCAAACACATCCCAAATGCTTCTTGGGATCCCTAAGGAGTATCCTAGGTGTCTTGGGCAACTTTCCTTCTTTCTCACTGCAGCTTACTTCAATGATGTCTCTATTGTTGCTAACATTAAAAAAGGGGCAGTTATGCTCTACAGGCACTGCATCTGATGATGCCTGCCAAAGTTGTTATGACCATTGTTCTTCAAAATGACTGAGGCTACTGCTGGTGTAGACTCCTGTCCATATATATATATGTGTGTGTGTGTATATATATATATATATATATATATATATATATATATATATATATATATATTTAAATAAATGCGTGCCCTAGCTGGTTTGGCTCAGTGAATAGAGCATCGGCCTGTGGACCAAAGAGTCCCGGGTTCAATTCTGGTCAAGGGCACGCACCTTGGTTGCAGGCTCCTCCCCCTCCCTGGCCCTGTTTTCTCTGTCCCTCTCTCTTCCACTCTCTCTAAAAATCAATGGACAAATATCCTCAGGAGAGGATTAAAAAAAACACAAAACCAAAACCACTGACACTGCCTCCCTTTAGCACAGAAGCTGCTGGCATCATTGTTTTTAGGGTCCTGTGAAAATTTTAGGGGGCAGATAATCTTTTTTATGGAATTTTCATTAAATATGAGTATTTTTTTCTTAGTGGTGTCATTTTTCCCCCCCTATAAACAAGAATAGTATCATTAATAGAAATACAATTTAAGCAGTACATCTTTGGATAATCGTTCCAATCTGTTTTGGGTAGATAGAATGACTAAAATGAGGAATCAAGGCTTTATTTTTTTTATATACATTATAATTAAGTTAAAAGAAAAAATGGAAACGAAACTTAGTTACACACATTTTACTTTGATTTATGTAATTTCATTAAAATAACATACCTATATAACAATATTTACATTATGACAAAGGTCCTATGTACTGAGTATTTTATAAATGGTATATGACCTTTAGAAGACAGACAATGAAGCACCTTTTTTTTCCCATGCTGAGACAGATATTTCTGAATCTAAACCTTTGGTATTCTTGTTCTAGTCAAAGACTTAAGATCTAATAAAACAACAGAGACAATATGTTAAAGAACAAAGTCAGTTATTATTTTCTAGTTTTTAAGCTCCCTGAGGCAAAAATAGATTTAAAAATTTTTTTTCTTATAGGTAGTCCAGTGTCTTGTTCACAATAAGCATTAAAAAATGAAAACACACTATTGCTGTGTAAAGTAGGGGTCTAGAGGCAGCATGCAGCTGCACAGATAGTAACTGTGGGTACAGAGACTGATACTGCTTTATGGGAAGACTTTGTATTTACCAGCTGGTGTCTGGCTGCCTGTCTGTATATGGACGTTGCTGTGAAGAACTGTCTTGTCTGATGGCTATATGGCCACTGGCTACTGCAATAAAGACTCATTCTTAAAAAAAAAAAAAAAAAATGAAAACATATTAAATATTCTTTTAACTTCATTCTTAACTCATTGTTTTGCTTCAAAATTACTACAATACTTACGAACTTAGTACTATTTTTTTTAACAACTACTTTTGAACCAAAGTTTACTGAAATTCTTAGAATGCTTCTCATTCAGGTCCTTCTCATCTCTCCACTGTTCTTTTTATATCTAACAGATGGAAGTATTCTACTCCTAATAGCAACTCCCCTTGGCACTGGGGATTTGTTGGTGTTTACGGAAATGGGGGATATATTTTCACTTTATCAAAATCAAAATCTGAAACCAAAAACAAGTTCATTAAACTTCAACAGAACAACTGGATCACAAGAGGGACTAGAGTTATTTTTATTGATTTTACGTTATACAATGCTAATGTAAACCTGTTTTGCATCATCAGGTGAGTGACTCAAAACCTATTTGTTAAGAAATTTCAAAAGCATCCAGAGCCCTGGCCAGGTGGCTCAGTTGTTTGGAGCCATGGTCTCATATACCAGAAGGTTGCAGGTTCGATTCCCAGTCAGCATGTACAGGAGGCAATCAATCAATGTATCTCTCTAAAAAAAAAGAAAATAAATGAAAAGCATCCAGAACTCTTATTAGGGTTTCCAATTTTTGCATGTCTGTACTGAGATTAAAATTATAAGCTTAAAATATAATGTCATTCTGCTAATAATGAAAAAGAAGGTAAAGTAACATCATATTATTTCATTATTTGAGAATATATATATTCAAGAACTTGGAGAATTACATACAATATGTTGGTTTTATATTACTAAAGGATATGTAATTTTATTGTCATCCTACAATTGCAGAGGTCTAACATTTAGTCTTTTTTTTTTTTTTAATACATTTTATTGATTTTTTACAGAGTGGAAGGGAGAGGGATAGAGAGCCAGGAACATCGATCAGCTGCCTCCTGCACGCCCCCTACTGGGGATGTGCCCGCAACCAAGGTACATGCCCTTGACCGGAATCGAACCTGGGACCTTTCAGTCTGCAGGCCGACGCTCTATCCACTGAGCCAAACCGGTTCTGGCTAACATTTAGTCTTGATGATTTCTTCTTCTATTCCAGTCATTCAAATCTGTTGATTTCCTTTCAGAATGAGCTTCCTTATTATAAATTTTTCTCAAGAATGAGCAATTTTTATTTTAAACAATATATAAGAGCACTCTGCATCCTAGAAATGATTAGAGTTTGTGGTGATTTGCAAAAATTGCCCCAAATCTTCACATCTTTGCTATGTAACTTTGCAAGTGCCCTCCCACCCAGAGCAGGGTGCACTGCCCTAGCCCTTGATGCTTAGACTCAATCATGAACTGTACAACCACAACACCCAGGGACCAGCTGCGAACCCAGGAACACCGGATCTCAAGCAGGGCGAATACGCAGACTCGGATGAGCTATAGACTCAATCATGTGATTTGTTTTGATCAATGGAATATTAGCAGATATGATACAAGCAGGAGCTTGAAATGAGTTTGTACATTAAAACTTGCTCTCTTGCCTGGCTGGGTAGGTCAGTTGGTTAGAGCTGTGGTCAGCAAACCGTGGCTCGTGAGCCACATGCGGCTCTTTGGCCCCTTCAGTGTGGCTCTTCCACAAAATACCACGTGCGGGCACGGGCGTACAGTGCGATTGAAACTTCGTGGCCCATGCGCAGAAGTCGGTATTTTGTGGAAGAGCCGGTATTTTGTGGAAAAGCCACACTGAAGGGGCCAAAGAGCCGCATGTGGCTAGTGAGCCGCGGTTTGCAGAGCCGCAGTTTGCCGACTCTGCTGACAGAGGTTAGAGTGTCCTCCTGATATGCCAAGGTTGTGGGATGGGTTCCTAATCAGGGCACATACAAGAATCCACCAATCAATGCATAAATAAGAGGAACAACAAATCTCTCTCTCTCTCTCTCTCTCTCTCTCTCTCTCTCTCTCTCTCTCTCTCTCTCTTTCCCCCCCCCTCCCTCCCTCCTTCCCTCCCTCCAAACAAAAAGTAATTTTAAAAAATGTAAAACTTGCTCTTCTGCATCTCTGCCATTGCATGAGAAGGACATGCCTGTGCTAACTTGTTACCCACAAGGAGGAAGAGAGACATCCTCTCATGCAGAAAAAGAGGAAGAGGAATAAGAGGGGGAGGGGGAGAAGGAGGAGAGCCAACCAAAGAGAAAAAATTCTTTCCATTAGTCCCATTACCTTAGGTCAGTGGTTGGCAAACTCATTAGTCAACAGAGCCAAATATCAACAGTACGACGATTGAAATTTCTTTTGAGAGCCAAATCTTTTAACTGAAATTATATAGGTAGGTACATTGTTATTAACTTAATTGGAGTATTCCTAAGGCTTAGGAAGAGCCATACTCAAGGAGCCAAAGAGCCGCATGTGGCTCGCGAGCTGCAGTTTGCCGACCATGGCTAGGTCATCTGCCTAACCTGGACCATGCTCACTGGTTTAGGCCTGGGCTCTAGAATCAAACATTGGCAAAGTAAATAGGATTACCATTTCTGGATCGGTCTGGGAATTGAATCAGTTTCCTCTAAGTCAGCGGTTCTCAACCTGGGGGTCGAACGACCCTTTCACAGGGGTTGCCTAAGACCATCAGAAAACACATATATAATTACATATTGTTTTTGTAATTAATACTATGCTTTAATTGTTTAAATAATTAAACTTAACAATGAAAATACATCCTGCATATCATATATTTACATTATGATTCATAAAAGTAGCAAAATTACAGTTATGAAGTAGCAATGAAAATAATTTTATGGTTGGGGGTCACCACAACATGAGGAACTGTATTAAAGGGTCGTGGCATTAGGAAGGTTGAGAACCACTGCTCTAAGTGAACTGGGAATGGGTGAACCACTTTTGCCTCATGAGCCTTACAATTTTATTCCAAATGGAACAGGAATTAGGGTTTACTCTGATTAGGGGATTTTTCCCTTGTGCAATAGTTACAGTGAAACACAATCATGGCCTTTAAAATTTGTAAAAATGAATAAAACAAGTGAATTACCTTAAGCAGCCAATGGAGAGTATACCTATTATTTTGAAGTTCTTCTCTTTAAGGAATCAGAGTTGTTGGGTTTTTTAAAATTATATATATATATATATATATATATATATATATATATATATATATATATATATTAATATATATTTTATTGATTTTTTACAGAGAGGAAGGGAGAGGGATAGAGAGTTAGAAACATCGATGAGAGAGAAACATCAATTCAGCTGCCTCCTGCACACTCCCTACTGGGTATGTGCCCGCAACCAAGGTACATGCCCTTGACCGGAATTGAACCTGTGACCCTTGAGTCCTCAGGCCGACACTCTATCCACTGAGCCAAACCAGTTAGGGCTAAAAAATATATTTTTATTGATTTTTTAGAGAGAGAGAGGAAGGAAGAGGAAGAGAGAACAGAAACATCAATGAGAGAGTAACATCAATAGGCTGTCTCCTGCGGGACCACTACTGGGCATCGAGCCCACCACCTGGGCATGTGCCCTGACCAGGAATATAACCGCATGACACTCAACCAGCCAAGCCACACCAGCTGATCAAGGAATCAGAGCTTTTTATCAACATTATTCACCCTTCCTACAAGTCCTTATCAAGTGAAGCATACAAATCACTTCTATGTCCTAAATAAGAGTAGAAACATTGGGGTAACTGACTTAAAGGCATATGAAGAGCTCTTTGTAATACTAGATTAAATCCAGATTTCCTTTCTCTAGGTTTTATACTTATTCCTTGTTACCTTTTAAAATGTTATTTTTAAAAAAACAGCAGATTTTGAAACTTTTATCTCGTAGTATATATAATCAGTAATTGTGAGTAAGTATGTTGCTTTCACTAAGACCTCATCTACTTGTTTTCCTTTCTATACACTGTATCTGGGAAAGTAAATGCGGTCCTTTTTCTCCCTTTTTGCTTCTCTGTTTACACTTCAGATCAAAATATTGAGTTTCTTTCACTGTGCTCACTTATCCAACATTGCACACCTACTATGTGCAAAGTGAAACCAATAGTTCTTTCCATTTGTTAACTAACTGGCTGTTTTGTTTTTGTTCTTGTTTTGGCAGCATCTTATTCCAGTACCAATAAGATTTGCTAATATCTTTAGGTAGAAATAATAACTTTGTGACATGGTGATAGAGATGCTTGTTTCTTAAAGTACTGCCAATTCTTAATTATCTGAAATTGTGAAGAACATTAGAAATACAGTGAACAACCTCAAAATCTTATTATATTTAGTGATGGAATTCAATTTAATACTTATATTTACATAAAGATCTTCATATCTAACATCAGTGCCTAAAATAAACATAACACTTGCTTTAGTAGAATATGCGATCTTGACATTTAGAATATGTGATCTGATAAGGTAAAGAAAGAGGGTGTATTTCCCTTCTCTGACTTTTCAAGAATTACTTATTTTGGGGGGAGTCCTGACTAATAACAGTAACTAACGGTATAGCATTTTCTTGAACATCATCTCATTCTCCTGTGGAGATAAATTAGTATTCCCAGTTATGAACAAACAGTCTAAACGTAGCATAGAATGAATGTCTGGCTAAAATCACAGCTCATTTTCTTATTTATCTTGGTCTTTGACCACTGGAAATATGCAAAGTACATAAAGAGTACAGTCATTAAAAAAATAAGTAAATCCAGTAGAAATTTTTCAAATTGAACCCGTGACCTCAAGAAAACATATTTTGTATAAAATAACTGGTTATCATTAAATTACACATCAGCACTGATTAGAAATTTCACACTGAATTACGTACTGAAATATAAATGCCTGAAATGCACACATCTAATTTTACAGGTTGGTGGCAGAATTCCCTGCAACTGGAGGAATACTTACTTCATGGCAGTTTTACTCAGTGAAACTCCTCATCTATGTTAGCTACTATGATTATTTTATTGCTTTCTGTGAAATCATATTTTTAATTTTGTTTACTCTCTTCCTAATACAAGAAGGCAACAAAATGAAAGAATTTAAGTTTGCCTATTTCAAACGTATTTGGAACTGGCTAGAATTACTACTTTTGGTGGTAAGTATATAGTCACATGTATGAAGGAACTCACATATGAACCCATCAATAAGAGGTGCAAAAAGCAGAAATTTTTATTCATCGTAACTTATTTTAAAAGCTTCAAATATCAAATCATAAAATGAACTATTATAGTACATACTAATGGTGTGCTTCCAAAAGGGAAAAGCCTTTTTTTTTTTTTTCCTGGTTTGATTCTTGGGAGGACCAGGATAAACCTAGAGGAATAGGTAATTCCATAGGTATCATGATTTAATGTGCACAATAGGTCTCACCTACCCCCACTCAAAAATCTATTCTTTACAATCACGTTGAAAATCATGGATCTTTTCTCTGTTGCCTAAATCTGCTTTCCTCCTCACAATGAATTTAGGAAGAATAGCTAAAAGACACAAAATACTGAAGGGGGAGGAGGTTTGAACAGCTAGAGGGTAGGTTGTGGGCACAGAGGACGCCAGTATAGGGAAATAGTCCCTGAAAGAAACTTCGAATACTGCCAGTCCTGGTCATTAGAACATAATAAAATAAACAGAGATGTAGGTAGGTAAGAGCGTGGTTTAGGAACAATGAACAAACACTTCTGGTGTATACAATCTGATCTTTCACCCCTATTGGCCAAGTTAATAGATAAGCCTTGTTTCCAAAACCAGATTGAAAGTTTATCAGAATCAGAAAGTGTGCCATCTACCTTTCTAGTACCCCCAATAATGTTTAACATATGGCAGGCATAGTGTTACATGTTTAATGATTTGACTATTTCAGGCAAGGGAAATCAAAAGGAAATTTCCATGACAGTTATAAAGCTCTGACATCTAGTCCTGAAATCTTCTAAAGAAGTTAAAGGGTTCCAACGGGGCTTCTTTGTTTGAAACTGTAAAATTTTGTCCTTGTAGTGTTATATGGTGGAAATATAAAACCTTTAGGTATCATGTAGTTACATGGAGCAGAAATCCTTACAGCCTAGTCAGAATTATAGAAGCACTATATACATTTGTGTTTTAGGACTCAAGGAAACAAGCAGGCAGAGTAGGATGGTCAGGTTGATCAATATTTTTCTACATTTATGATGATTAAACTTCTATAAATTAAGGCTTACTTCCATGTACTAAAACCCTATGTTTTATCTCTCCCTCCCTTTTGTTGAACTTTTGATGAACTTTTTCATGTGCTTCTTCATAGACTGCAGGAGATTTAGAGGTAGAAATAGCCTCTAATTTAACCCTTCTCTTTTTTCCCCATATAGCTGTGTTTTTTGACCATTTTCTTCAACTTATTCTGTAAAATACAAATTTTTCTCTTACTTGAACAGCTGTTAAAACGTACTGAAGAATATTCAGACTTCTATTTGCTCGCACACTGGCGCATTTTTTACAACAATATGCTTGCTATTATCGTCTTTTTTGCATGGATAAAGGTATTTATAGTTTATTATATTCGATACAATAGAATAGATATAATATTTTTATATTAGATATCAAAATGGGAACTTAAACTACAAAGCATGAAAAAACAAAAGAATATCCTTAACTATACAGTAATTTTACAAGTAGTTTGGCAATATAATGATTGCTGACACGTCCTTAAATACCCCTATCATTAAACACCTCTTTGAAATTAAAGCAGATTTTTTTTCTGAAGCTAATTTAACTTATTCTAAGTAATTATAATCTTTAATATCCTATTTCAATTAACTATGTTCTTTTTCAGATATTCAAATTCATAAGCTTTAATAACACAATGTCTCAGCTGTCATCAACCTTGTCCTGCTGTATCAAAGACATAGTAGGATTTGCCATCATGTTTTTTATAATACTCCTTGCTTATGCCCAGTTAGGATTTCTTGTTTTTGGATCACAGGTTGACGACTTTTCTACTTTTCAAAATTCCATGTAAGCTCTTCATATAAATGTAATTATATTTTCCAATTTATAACAAAAAAATCACGGAAAGATCTATGTTAAGTAGTAACATAAGCTTTAATAACTTTAAACTTGGTTTTATATTTTCACTAACAGCTAAGTATGTCATACTCAAAGTATGGTTAGGCATTGAAAGATCCAAATGGATGGTGATACCATTTTTTTAAGAGTTACTAGGTTAAGTTGGAAAAATAATTTTCATTTCTCACTAGAAGTGAAAATTTTACCTAAGATAAAAGAAATTGGCTCCATGTCTCTGAGCAAAGGAAATTGTGTTTTCTTTAGAGGCCTCCATCTTTAGAATCCTTTTATTGATGTTGACCTGATTGCTCTTTGCTGCTCTGGGAAAGCTGTGTTTTAAAAATAGCTTTATACACATAAAGCAATCAGCAGGCAACAAACTTATAAAACTAATTAGAATCCTTAGAAAAGTATTCAGGCTTTCCTTTAAAACTGAATAATTTTAATAAATTTACTCCACTTTTCAAGTAGGTAAAGCAAGCTCTGTCAGTATAAGTAAACTATGATATTCTAAAATATCAATTCTCAAAACACACTCTGTGGACTCTAGACCAAAATTGTCTGCGGGGAAATGGCCTCAGATTTAAGTAAGATTGGGAAAATTTGCAGTGCAAAGTAATGGCTGTGAGAAAAACCCCAATCACTTTCTTAACTTTAGTTAAGAACATATTTGTCCATGACCCTTTCTGTTGATTTTGGGGACATCTGGTCTAAAGAAATGTCTTAGGTTGCCCTCTTTTCACCATCCACATATAAATAATTGAAGTACCAGTGTTATAAAATGTAATAACATTTTTCTGAAATAAACCTGTACTAAATCAGTAGTGGGAAGAGTAGGGTAGAAACCAAGAGGATTTAACTCTACTTTTCCAATTCTGCCATTTGCTATTTAACATTTCTAGACCCTAATTTCTTTATCTGTAAATGAAGGGATTGATCTAAATCACTTCCAAAGATCCTTCTCAACTTCAAACAACCTATAATTTAAGAAGTCTAATTAACCCGATCAGTGTGGCTCAGGGGTTGAGCGTCAATCTATGAACCAGGAGATCAAGGTTTTATTCCCTGTGAGGGCACATGCCTGGATTTTGGGCTTGATCACCAGTAGGGGATCATGCAGGAGACAGCTGACTGATGATTCTCTCTCATCATTGATGTTTCTATCTCTCTCTCCCTCTCCCTTCATTTCTCTGAAGTCAATAAAACATTACAAAAAAATCTTTTTTAAAATGTCTAATTAGCTTATCCTGAGTAAAGAATATTTGCAGTTTTAACAACTTTTTGGTCATTTCCTAGGATATCAATTCAAATGTTACTTAAAACGTAGTTGTATTAAATATTGAATATAAATGTAGTAATTTACAGAACCGCAGAAATTTGTCTTACCTTGGTTGGTAGGAAAATTGGAGGTATAAGCCACAGAAAAAAGTAGAGAACTCTGGAATGGGTTGAGGGTATTTTTGTGCTTGGTAATGATGTCCTAGATTATTCAGATCAACCAACTCTTCAGGACAATTGAAAAAGCTGGAAAACATTGAAATTCTTTAGAACTAACAAAAAAGCGAGTAATAACTGGGCCACAATCTGAAGGCAAGAATCCAGAGAAGCCCAGCACCCAATGCTACTTTTGCCCTGAGGGCTTTTTTTAAGTCAGTAAGAATTTTTTTTATTGTGGTAAAATACACATAAATTTATCATCTTAACCATGTCTTGTAAGGTACAGTTCAGTGATATTAAGCATACTTATATTGTGCAACCATCACCACCACTCATCTCCGGAACCCTTTTTAATTTTGCAAAACTGAAACTCTATACCCAGTAAAAAAGAACTCTTCATCTCCCTGCTTATCCCAGACCCTGGCAACCACTGTTCTACTTTTTGTCCCTGTGATTTTGACTACTGTAGGCACCTAGAGAATAATACAGTATTTGTCCTTTTGTGACTGATTTATTCCACTTTAGCATAACAGTGTTGTAGAGCATGTCAGAATTTCCTTCCTTTTTTAGGCTGAATAATAGTCCATATATGTTTATACCATATTTTGCTCATCCATTAATCTGTCAGTGGTTTGCTTCCATATTTTAATTATTGAGCACATGGCTGTACAAATATCTCCCTGCGGCTCTTTTACCAGTAATTCTTTGGGGTATATGCCCTAAGGTAAAAGTGCTAGATCATATAGTAATTCTATTTTGAATTTTTTGTTTGTTAATCCTCACGGAAGAATATTTTTCCATTGATTTTTTAGGGAGAGTGGAAGAGAGGGAAAGACACAGAGAAACATCGATGTGAGAGAAACACATCAATTGGTTGCCTCCTACATGAGCCCCAACCAAGGCGCAGGCTGGGGAGGAGCCTAAAACCAAGGTACATGCCCTTGATCAGAATCAAACCAGGGACCTTTTGGTCCACAGGCCAACGTTCTATCCACTGAGTAAAACCAGCTAGGGTATATTTTGAATTTTTTTTTAGGAACTGCCAAACTTTCCCACAGTGGCTATATGATTTGGCATCCCCACTAGCAGTGCATAAGGGTTTCAACTTCTCTACACCCTTGTCAACTTTTTATTTTCCAGTCTTTTTTTTTTTTTTTTTTTTTTTAGTAGCTATCCTAATGGGTATGAGATATTTCATTGTGGTTTTGATTTGCATTTCCCTAATTAGTGATAGTGATTTCACGTGCTTACACATATGTTGGCTCACTTGATGGCCCCAAGGTCCCTTAGCTCTGCTTGCTTTTCTTCAATCTTTTTTTTTCTGTTCCTCAGACTCAATAATAATCTTCAAATTCACTGATTTTTATTCCTTCTGCTTGTTCAAATCTGCTTTTGAATTCCTCTGGTGAAAAAAAATTATTTTTTTTTGGTGAATTTTCATTTCAGTTATTGATCTTTAGCTCTATAATTTTTTACTTTTTATTTATATTTCCATTTTATTCATATGTCCTTTTCTTTACTTTCTCCATGTCTTCTTAGTACTTTGAACATCTTTAACATGGTTTGTTTTAAAGTCTTTGTCTAGCAGGCCTGCCATCTGATCTTTGTCTAAAATTATTTCTATTGGTTTATTTCTTTCCTTTTAGTGGGCCTTACTGTACCTTTGTATGTCTTGTCATTTTGTTGTTGTTGAAAACTGGACATTTGAGTGTAATAATGTGTTAACTCTGTAAGTTAGATTCTTCCCCTTCCCCAGAGTTTGCTGCGTTTGTTGTTATTGCAGACTGTCTCCATACTAAGTATCAGCCTAAGATGTAAACTTAATGTTTTTTTAGGTCTTTTCTGAGCCTGTGTTTTCCTTAGGGCATGCATGGTGAATTTCTAATTCCTCCATATATGCAGTTGGTTTTGAATACCATCCTAGGCTATAGTATCTCCCAAAAGGGGAAAAAGAGAAAAATGAAGGGGGAGGAAGGGCACTAGCCCTTTAAATCCCAAGGACATTGCTTCAGCTGCGGGGAGAAGGAGCTTACAACAAAGATGTGGAGAACACCTGCCTCTGTGTCTGCACCTCTGTGATCAGAAGCAGCAATCAGAACACAAACCCCTGATGACTGGAGAACAGGGTCCTTATTGCCCATCCTGGCTCCCACGAGCTGCGTGTAAACTATTCCAGGAATACATGCACAGTTGTAGGCCATGGGATGGAGGTGGGAGATGGGTATCTACTGCCAAACTAAAAACTAGAATTGAACAAAATTGTCTGAGCCTTTCCTTGGAAGTTGTGAGCCTTCAACAGACTCCAGCATTCCAAAATAATTATATCAGACCAGACAGCTGCCGATGTGATTGTTGTCTCGGTGAGGAGACAGATTCTGAGTTTTTCTTACCATCTTCCCAAAATCTCCACCCTGAAGGCATTTTTGCTGATCTAGAAAAAGTTGAGAAACTGTGTTTCTGACCACCTCTTCGGAAGGAGACAAAAGACAATGCCCAGGACCTGCATGTGTGTTTGTGTTAGGGGGTGGAGGGCAAAGGTGGATTTTCAGATAACCTCTTTACAAATCAAGCAGGAAGCCTAAAGTGTTCCAGCCTCAAGTTAAAAGTAAACCCCTTATAGTGACTTGAAGCCTGAGTTTAATCACCTAGATTTCCAAGGAATCTCATATCTTAAACTTGAATTAAGATGTCCTGGGCTAGCCCTAGGTGGTTTGGCTCAGTGGATAGAGTGTCCATCTCCGGACTGAAGGGTCTCGGGTTCGATTCTGATCAAGGGCATATGCCCAGGTAGTAGACTTGATCCCCAGCAGGAGGCAGCCAATCGATTCTCTTTCATCACTGATGTTTCTATGTCTCTCTCCCTTCTCTCTGAAATCAATAAAAAAACGTGTGTGTGTGTGTGTGTGTGTGTGTGTGTGTGTGTTTAAAAAAAGATCAAGTTAGAAATATTAAAACAGAACCTTTTTTTTAAAATATATTTTTATTGATTAAGATATTACATATGTGTCCTTGTCCCCACGTTACCCTCTACCCCCCCCCCCCCCCGCTCATGCCCTCACCCCCCCCCCCCGTTGTCCGTGTCCATTGGTTAGGCCTATATGCCTGCATGTAAGTCCTTTGGTTGATCTTTCCCCCTTACCCCCACCCTCCCCTACCCTCCCTCCAAAGCCCGACAGTCCAATCAATGCCTCTCTGTCTCTGGATCAGTCCTTGTTCATCAGTTTATGTTGTTCATTATATTCCACAAATGAGTGAGATCATGTGGTATTTATCCGCTCTCCAGTTCCATCCATGCTGTGGCAAATGGTAAGAGTTCCTTTTTCTTCTTCCTCTTCTTAAAGAATACCTTTCAGCATTTCATATAATGCTGGTTTGGTGGTGATGAACTCCTTTAGCTTTTTCTTGTCTGTGAAGCTCTTTATCTGACCTTCAATTCTACATGATAGCTTTGCTGGGTAGAGTAATCTTGGTTATAGGTTCTTGCTATTCATCACTTTGAATATTTCTTGCCACTCCCTTCTGGCCTGCATGGTTTCTGTTGAGAAATCAGCCGACAGTCGTATGGGTACTCCCTTGTAGGTAACTGACTGTCTTTCTCTTGCTGCTTTTAAGATTCTCTCTTTGTCTTTTGCTCTTGGCATTTTAATTATGATGTGTCTTGGTGTGGTCCTCTTTGGATTCCTTTTGTTTGGGGTTCTCTGCGCTTCCTGGACTTGTAAGTCTATTTCTTTCACCAGGTGGGGGAAGTTTTCTGTCATTATTTCTTCAAATAGGTTTTCAATATCTTGCCCTCTCTCTTCTTCTGGTACCCCTATAATTCTGATGTTGGTACGCTTGAAGTTGTCCCAGAGGCTCCTTACACTATCTTCATATTTTTGGAATCTCTTTTCTTTTTTCTTTTTCAGTTGGGTATTTTTTGTTACTTTGTATTTCAAATCTTTGACTTGATTTTTGGGATCCTCTTGTCTGCTGTTGGATCTCCGTAGATTATTCTTTATTTCAGCCAGTGTATGCTTAATTTCTAGTTGGTCCTTTTTCATGTCCTCCATGGTCTCACTATACTTATTGAGGGACTCATTAAATTTATCGGCGGTTTCCATAAAATTCTTGAAAAACCTTATAAACGTGGCCTTGAACTCTATATCCAGTCATTTGCTTTCCTCCATTTCTGCCATTTGTGACCTGTTTCTTTGTCTCCGCATTTTGGCTGCTTCCCTGTGTTGATAGAGTGGCTTTGTGTGCTAGGTGTCCTCTAGGGCCCAGTGGCTCAGCCTCCCCAGTTACCTGGGGTGGACACTCTTGGTGCACCCCCTCGTGGGCTTTGTGCACAGTCTTGTTGTAGCTATGCCTTGGTTGTTGTAGGATCACTGGGAGGAATTGACCTCCAGGGCAATTGGCAGCAAGAATCAGCTGTGTCTGCAGTGGGAGAACTTCTGTGCTGGAGACACCCTTCTGGGGCAAGACTTGCTTCAGTGGGGCTTTGGTGCTCACTGAGACTGCCCCCTGAGTGTGTCCCTTATGGATCTGAGGAGTTGTGATCTGGATGGTTCCCCTCTGACCACTGGGTACAGTGGCTCTTGGATCTAAGGAGGTGCTAATTTAGCCTCTGCCTGAGGTTACACAGCAGGGACTACGAAGAGAACTGCAGATTCCCCTTCCTTTTTTTTGGATGATGCTCAGCTGTGTAGCAATGCAAGCCGCTGTGGGGCCTTGGGCCTTCTCTTGGAAGCTCTGGGTCTATGTGGCCCGGCTGCGGTTAGGTAATTACAGGTTGCAAATGGCCGGGGCATTCATATGCAAAAGCCTCTGCAGCAGCCTGGGTGGGGCGGGGTCTCAAGGAATCAAAGGGCAGAGAAAGCAGCTATGGCGGAGCCTCAGCCCTGCCCTAAGGAGTCGCGAGTTCCAGTGTCCCGGCAACGGCTGCAAGCACCTCTGAGGGAAAGCCGCTCTCAAGCTCGCCTGCTGCCAGACAGTCCAGTATTTCCCCATATGAGTCCTGGGTCCCCAGAGACTTCCCGGAACCGGATTTCAGAGCCGTCGGGAGCTTGTGTCTCCCTCCGGATTCAAAAAGACAGCCGCGTCCTCAGGTGCCAGACCCTTTCCGCGCGCACGAGCCTCCGTACCTCTGCACTCCACCTCCGCAGCTCCTCCCGCTCACAGTGTGCTTTTCTCTCCTTCTAGTTGTAGAATTTACACTCAGCCAGCCCTCCTGTAGTTCTGGATGATGTCCACCTTGTGTTTTTGATGCATTTATCGATTATTTTGGGAAGCAGCAATTTCCCGGTGTTTATCTATGCCGCCATCTTAGTTTCTCCCCTAAAACAGAACCTTTTATTCTCCTATCCCAAAAAGGAAAAATCATTTGATTTGTTGCAAAATTTTGGACTCTTTGCAATTTAGCATTTCTCTTTTTACCTTGTGTAGAAGAGCATTACAAACCAGTATTAAAAGCTGGATAAATACTTTGAGCATGACTTAATAAGGTTTTGGGTATTAGGAATGAAATTCCAGATAACTCTGAGTCCCAGGACTCCAAATAGTTGATTTCTTTGAACGCATTTTCTTCCTTCTTGGTAGCTAGCCCTATGACCCTTTATGTGATTGGCTAAAGCAACAAGTAACAAGAAGCGCTCTCCCTTTTGACTGACTGGCCAATCATGCAAAGTATCTACATACTTTCAAAAATTCCTTCCCAGATTCCCCCTTAATAAACAGAACTCACATAATTTATTACATACCCCTGATGTGTCTGGCAATGCCACTGCAAATTAATGAGAATATAAGACCTCAGATTAAGAGATTCTAATTCTACCGCTACTTCTAAGCCTTAATTTCTTAATTTTCCATCTTTAAAAGAATTAAAAAAATATTTTAAATGCTATTTCACTTCAAAACCAAGTTTTTATTGTTATTAAAGAGAATAAAATAAACCTCAGGATCATGTTTGAGACTCAGCAAGTGACTAATTATTGGCTCTTTATTTTCAAAGAAGAGCAAAAATTAAACATCATTGATATCAGAAGACATTTTAGGGCTCTTGGTTCTAGGTACAAGTTGAAAATCACTTGAACAAAGTGAAAGTATTCTAAGCTTTAGAAAGGCACAGGAATAGCTAAGGAGGCCACTGTGAAGATCAGTTGGTAAAAAAGTAGCTCAAGGTTCAAATCTTGCAGGTAAACATTGGGTTGACATTAGTTAAATAAATTGAAGCCCAACATTTCCTGGACTACCTGTTCATCTATTGAGGTACCTCAAGTCTTGCCTTCAGGGGAATTTTCTACATCCAGTTTTATAGAACTCTGTGCTGTAACATAACTAAAGCCATATAGTATATGCCATACACAGCTAAATACTTTCCTAAACACATTGGTAACCCCCATCAGTTGTCATGCATGTATAAAGGGATATAATATTTTCTAATCTTTTTCTTTCTTCTCATCAAAGATTTGCACAGTTTCGAATTATTCTTGGGGATTTTAATTTTGCTGCTATTCAGCAAGAAAATCGTATCTTGGGACCCATTTACTTCATCACCTTCATCTTTTTCATAGTCTTTGTCCTATTGGTAAGAATGACCATATATGTTTCCTTTTTTGCGTAAATATTTTAGAGTGAAAAATGAACAACTTAGAAGAAATTATAGTACCACTGGTTAGCTGTCAGAACACTTCACATTGACTAATGCATATATAAGTAACCACTCATATGCACTATTTTAAATTCTGTTTATTTTCCATAAACATGTCTGCCTAGGTCCACAAACTACACATTACCCAGTCTACTATATTTTAGTCTTCAGAGCAATTTCTCTATTACTGACCATCTGACCATATGAGTTACTTTTAAAATTTAAATCTAATTTTTACTGCACTTGCCAAAATCACTAACATTTAAACTAAATGTTTATTGAAATAATTTCTTATTTGAATATTTCTCTCCAGAACATGTTCTTGGCAATAATTAATTATACCTATTCGGAAGTGCAAGATGATTATTCATTAGGCAGAAGACCATCTTTTAAACTTGGTGAAATGATTAAGAAGGTATGTCAAATTCTTTTCCTAATTAGAATTCTAAGACAAATCTTGTTCAGTTTATACGCTTGTAGTTTGAATAACACTTAAACCCAAAAGTGGGTTCTGGTTCTGGTGTGTGTGTTTTTGAGGAGAGTGTGTGCGTTTTTTTGGTTTGGCCCAGTGATAATCATTTTTGTATTATTTCACTACCAGGGCAGTGAAATAAACTCTCTGGCTTTTTAAAAAAACGTGACCAAAATTATTTCAGAGTTTAATGTATCAAATAGTAATTGGGCTATTTACTAAATGCAAAGCACTGAATAAACATCCAAAAGTTTTCCATTTAGATGCTGGCTAATTTCTATAAACAATCTAAACTCAGAACTCCATGTGCCTTACCTTCCTCACTTTCCTATTTCCATTAATGACAACACTCTTCTCAGGTACCCTAGGCTCTAATACCTTGGACTTATTTCCTTGTCGCTTATATAATCTGCTGCCAAGGCTTGTTGCTGGGGTCCAACCCCAGCAGGTCCAGGGGTCCCCAAAGGTGTGGACGGAGTGGGCGAAGAAGGAATGACACGGAGACAGCGTTCAGTTGATCAGCAGCCTAGCCAGGATCTCTAGCCAAGTTCTGGTCAGGATCTCCAGCCAGGTTCTGTGTCCATGTTCTCTTGCTAGGTTCTCCAGCCAGGTGATGTCCAGGTTCTCCAACCAGGTTCAGTCACCAGGTTCTAGTCAGGTTCTCTTGCCATGTTCTACCCAGGTTCTGTAGCCAGGTTCTGTCTCTAGGTTCTGTGGCCAGTTTCTGTCCAGGATCTTTTGCCATGTTCTCTCTCTAGGTTCTGTGCCCAGTTTCTGTCCAGGATCTTTTGCCATGTTCTCTCCAGCAAAGTTCTTCTGTCTCTAGGTTCTGTGTAGGTTCTGTCTCCTGTTGTCTTGTTACATCTGTATTTATACCAGTTGATTCCAATCCTATCAATCTCTATTCCAAAGGTTAGGGCGTTTCTTATCTCCATTCCAGGGAGTAAAGATTATGTAGCTTAAGCATGACTATTCGTAGCTAAAGTGATTAATTACCCGCCTGGCACTTAGTTAAGGGGTTTTATTCCCTCCCTAACTTCAGGGGAAAATCCCTACCTGGGGAAACAACTTTTCTCAGAGAGGTGACCTTGGTGAAAACACATAGTGCCAAGAAGGTGAGCAAACATATTAAGAACAGTATGCCATATATGCCAGGTCCCTTGAAACAGCATGGATGGACCGGCTCCCGGCAGCTTGTCTAGTTTTTGCTCATGTATGTGGAACTCAAGGACACTCTTAATTCTGTCACCACTTTATCAGGGCCCTCAGTACTTTTCACCCAGGCTTTTGTATAGTAACATCTTACCTGTTCTAGCCTCTTTCCTGTGCCAGGCCAGCTCTGAGCATATCATTTTTCTGCTCAAAATTCTTCAGTTTCCCCAGGCCTATCAAAAAAAGTTCAAATTCTTATTATTCTTATTGTTAACTCTCACCCAAGAATATTTTCCCATTGATTTTTGGAAAGAGTGAAAGGAATGGAGACACCGAGAAACATCGATGTGAGAGAGACATCGACTGGTTGCCTCCCACATGCGCCCTGACCTGGCAGGGATCGAGCCTGCAACCCAGGTATCTGCTCCTGACCAGAATCAAATCTGTGACGCTTCAGTCCGCAGGCTGATGCTCTAGCCACTGAACCAAATGGGCCAGGGCTAAGAAAATAATATTCAAATATTTATTTGAATAATATTCAAATAAATTATTTCAAATTCTTTACCCAAACATTCAGGGCCCTTCTAAAGTCTCACAGCCCCAAACTATCTTTCTTTACAGTCATCTAACTATAGAATTTCTACCTCCTATGCCTCCATTTCCAGTATGGTAGGTCCCAGCCAATGTTGTAAGCACAGTGCTATTTACTATGCTTCCTCTCACTCTCTCCTCTGCTCATGTCATTCTCTGACCCCAAGTATATTCTCTCACTGACAGTCTATTTCCTCCAACAAAGGAATCTTCTCTGGCCTCTATTTCTTTTTAAAATATGTTTTTATTGATTTTTAGAGAGGGAGAGGGAGAGAGACATCGATGAGAAGCATCATTGATTGGCTGCCTCCTGCATGCCCCCCAATGGGTACCACGCCCGCAACATGGACATGTACTCTGACTGGGAAATGAACCATGACCTCTTGGTTCCTGGGTCAATGCTCAACCACTAAGCCACACAGGCCGGGCCTTCTCTGTCCTTTTGATACTACCTCACTTTGGATGGTAGCAATGTCATGTGTGTACAAACCATCTTGCCTACCTCTGCATAGCCACAGCTTTAACTAAAACACTTAACATGAAAAAGGTCCTAACAGGTGTAGGGTTAGTGGGATTTAAGAACTGTGTCCAAGAACTTAAGTGTAAAAGAAAACTATTAATATGTCCACCAATGAACTTCCTTGTGGTTTCATCATTTATCTTGATTATGTTGGTTCTATGCATTAAAGTGTTAACTTTTTAATTTTAACTTTTTTATTTTATTGATTTGCGGAAGAGAAATATTGACCATCTGCTTCCTACTGGGGATCAAGCCTGAAACCCAGGCAAGTGCCCTAACTGGGAACCAAACAGGCAATCTTTCTGTGCACAGGACGATGCCCAACTAACTGAGCCATATGGGCCACAGTGTGTTAACATCTTTAATGCAAAAACTGTTAACAGTACTTTATTTTTATTGTTGACACTATTACAAATGTTCTCCCTTCCTCCCCTCTTTGCCCACCTATCTCCCAGCCCCACTGTTGTCTGTGACCATGGGCTATGCATATATGTTGTTTGTTAAAGTACTTTTTAAAGGGTGTGTTTTTTTTCAAGTGCAGGTCTGACGCCCACAGAACTGTTTCCTTTGCACCAGCAGGCAGAAACCATAGTGCTGACAAACTGAAAAGAAGGATAATCATAGCATTTGCCTCTACTTTTCTTTAGTGTAGCAATCCCTAGAGACAAGCATTCCATATTTCCTTTACCTGGACCAAAAATTAACAATACAGGATATATTTTTTTATTTTTTATTATGTCCAGAGTTACAACAATGTGCTCAAAAAACTCAAACTAAAGAAACCTCAAGAGGATGAAGACAATAAAAGGTAAGATGACTTTAAAATTTTAATTTACCATTTTAAATCTCTATATTGTATAAGAAACTTATGAGAGTAAGATTTTGATAGCAAAACCACCACCATCCAAAGTGCTGGCTCTAAATATGTTAGTAAATCCGGTAGTGCTTAACTTCTGAGAGTGTCTTGAAACTCTAAGCTAATTTAAAAGAAATATAAGCTATGCCATACCACTAATAAAACTTAACAGAAGCTGGACAAGAGGGTGAAATTCCTTCTCTAAAGGTAGGAGACAATTTTAGTCTACATTTAATGCATTTATTTAGCTATTGAAATAAAAACATTTACACAAAACATTAAGAATACACTTACATTTATTGAGTCACTTTGTCATTAAAATGCTTTCCAAACCCACACCTCTGACAATGGGACATAAATACTTTTTTATAGTTAGAAATGTAATTCTCTGAGTAACTTCTTAATGACCACATTTTCCAAAAAGTCAGATATCAGAAAGAATAGAAATGCAACTCAGAACCTTTATATAAATCTGCTTGTATTTTATGCTGGCATTTCCCTATTTACTGACATGTGCCTCTAATTTTTCTTTCATATTTTCAGTAGGAAAAACAAAGATTTGGCTGAACAAGCCAGAAGAAAAGGCTTTGACGAAAATGTAAGATGTTAATTTTCTCATAATGAAGTTATAGCTTTATTAGAAATATGCTTACAAAAATGTTCCAAGTTAGGACTGAAATGATTTCTTTTTTCAGAGCATTAGTTGCCACCTCCAAATATTTCTCCCAGAATCTATACCCTTGTTTAGGACAAATCATTTGGATTCCAGATGCTCCCTCTTTCTTACTGGTGCCCTCAGCCAGATACCCTGGTCCTACAGCTGTACTCTCACTGTGGGATAATCACACAGGGGTTAGTGAGTATACTCAATTGAGATGATTATATAAATTTTCTCTAGTAATCATTAATATATGATAAATCACTTTAATGATTTTTTATATTTCAGAACTATAACATATTCAATAAATGACTCAGTATATATACATGTATATTTAAGAAATAATTATAAAGCACACAATATATGCAAGGAAAGAAAATGTAAGCCAAGGATTTTTATATCTAGCAAAACTATACTTCAAGGCTCAAAGAGTTTTGACCATGGAGGAACTCAGGTAATACTGTTGTATTCCTGAGGATTCTACAGGGATCAGCTTCTGCCAACCAAGAGATGATTGGAGAAATTTTGGAAAAAAGGAGGGACAGAGAAGGAATAAGCAGAAAAAGCTGATTGGTTCATATACTAGTATAATAGTTGAAATTATCTTTTAGAGTTAACCAAGAAGAAAAAACATTAGCATATTTAAGAGTACAATAGTAAATAAGATTGTTTTAATTATTTTAAAACTCCTTTATCACATTTTAACATCTCTGAAATCAAGATGTGCCTTATGGTTGATAGTGTGTCATATGTTAACTGGCAGCATTTTTCATAAGTGGTACATAAAAAAAAGTGTGTCTTACAGTAGACTCCACTTCTCATATACAAGGAAATATAGAAACATAATTTAAAATGTAATTGGGTAGTAGAGAGGAAGGAGATGAGGAGGAAGAAATTATAAGCTAATTTTCTTGTTAAACTTGTTTGATTCCTTGTGGAGGGAACCAAAGCAAGAAAGGGAGGTCTCAGTATGTATAAAAAGTTACATGACTAAAAACAAACCACTGAGCCTGGCCACCGTGGCTCAGTGGTCGAATGTCAATCTTTGAACCAGGAGGTTATGGTTTGATTCCTAGTCAGGGCACATGCCCAGGTTGTGGGCTCAATCTCCAGTGTGGGGTCCCCAGTATGGGGCATGCAGGAGGCAGCTGATCAATGATCTCTCTCTCCCTCTCCCTTCCTCTCTGAAATCAACAAAAATATTTTAAAAACATGCACTGGAACAAAAGGGCAAAAGTACAAAACCAAAAAAGAGAACAGAAAATATAACACATGGTAAAAGACTTAAAAATATAACCGTAAGACAATATGATATAATTGTAACCAAATATAGCAGACATATCAGTAATGGCAAAAAGTATAATCTATTTAAAAAGAAAAATATTTTCAGACTGAATCACAAAGCAATACCCAATTCTACACTATATCCTAAAATATACACCTAAAATAAATTCAGAAAAGTTAAACATAAAAGCATGAGCTAAGGTATAATAGGCAAGGAAAAGATATCAGGGGACACAATCTAACTAAAGATAGAATTCAAGACAAAAAGCTCTGAATGAGATGAAGGGCACTTTATAAGGCTAAGATCAACTCTAATAGTTATGATTATCAATGCACCAAATAACATGTCATCAACTTCCATAAAAACTACTGGACTTACAAAAGGAGTAATAGGAACACACAAAAAATAGACAACAGATCAAGAAAAATAAAAGGATTAAAAAAGACAACATAATAAACAGGCAATCTTACAGTTATGTGTTAAATTCTGTACTCTCAGAAGATACATACTTTCGAAAACCCATTCATTAAAACTGATCATATATTGGGCCACAAAGAAAAGCTCAATAAATTCCAAAAAGTAGTTAATACAGAAAAAAATTCTTGCCCTCGCCTATGTGGCTCAGTTTGTTGAAAGCTATAGTTTTCAAAATAGTATGTATTGGCATAAGGACAAATAGACTAATGATCAGAATTGAGAGCCCAGAAATCAACCAATCAATGTTTCACTCTCACATAGATGTTTCTCTCTCTCTCTCTAAAATCAATAAAAACATATTTTAAAAAGAAAAAATATCTGAAAATGACATAAAAATATAGTAATAAAATTATAAAATAAAAAATTATTTAACCAAGAAAAATTTTAATTATTAAACAATTTTTAATCAAAGAGAAAATACAAAATGAAATTGCAGAAAACAAAATGATAACACTATTTAACAGAATCTATAAGATAAAGTCAAATACCCTACCCAGAGGGAAAATTAGTAGCCTTAAATTTATCAATAAAAATCAAAGAGAGAAAACACATTAATTTTAGCATGTGACTCAAAAAGTTAGAAAATAGACAACAAATAAGAAATAAAAATAAAAGTAGAACTGAGTTACAAACAGCAATTAGTATACTAATAAATAAATAAAAAGGCTGGTTCTTTGAAAAGATCAGTGAAAAGAAATCACTAGACAACAAACAGAATAAGAGGGAGAAAGCATAAACATGCAAAGTAAAAAACTGCAATGGGGGAAATAGTCAAGAAACAAAAGAAAATTTTAAATATCACCAAAATAAATTGAAGACAACATAAACAAATGGAAAGACATTCTGTGCTCATGGATTGGAAAAATTAATATTATTAAAATGTCCATACCACATGAACCCATATATAGATTCAATGGAATCCCTATCAAAATTCCAATGGCACTTATCATAGAAATAGAACAAATTCTTAAATTTGTATGAAAGGATAAAAGACTGAATAGCCAAAACAATCTTGAGGAAGAAC